CCGGATGAACAACTACGGCGAGCTGACCCCCACCGTTCCGGTGACCATGACTGGTTCCACGGACACGGAGCACACACGCTTCTACCAGTCTCGCCACGATCGCATCTCATTGGGTGGCTTCGCCTCGAAGGACCTTCAACTCACGCCGGGACTCAATGTGGTTGTACACCAGGTGGAGGTCGACAACAAGCCCCTGGGGCTGTGGAACTTTGTAACGAGCGAGGGAAGCTGCGGGGGAGCAATGATTGGGGCAAGGGAGTCGGCAGCTGCATCCACGGCTCGTCACTTCAATGGCCTAGGATACGCCCAGCTGATGAAGACCCGACCCAGACCGACCCGAAAGAATCTCTTCTCCGTGCAGATGACCTTCCGAACGCTGGACGAGAATGCCCTACTGTTCCTGGCGGTTGATGACAAGAACGTAAGTACTTAATATTTTTTATTGCAATTGTTATTAAATGATTAATCCTCCTGGCAACAGAACCGCTCGGTGTCGGTAACCTTGAGCCGGGGTCGGATCATGTTCCGCATCGACTACGGCGACGAGTCCAAGCTGGAGATCAACACCACCAAGAAGTACAATGTGGGTCAGTGGATCAAAATAGAGGCCGCACGAGAGTTCTCTGCCAAACGAAGCACGGAAAACGGAATGCTTCGTGTGAACAACGATCGTCCTGTTTCAGGAGCTCCCACGCTACCAGTAAACATTCACATGCTACCGGATCTGTCCAAGGCGGTTTACTATTTGGGCGGAGTTCCACCAGGTATGGTTAGATGAAAGCCACCTTTCTTCTTTCAAGAAGTTCAAAGCCGAACTACATTGAACTAATTATTTTCCTAACTACGTACATAGGATTCACTTCGGGCACTACGAAAGCTCCTGGAGCTGATAATCCTTTCCTGGGATGCATGAAGGATGTCCAGGTGAATGGGGAGACCTACGATCCCCTAGAGAGTTCTAGTTATTACGGCGTAGAGCCCTCCTGCAAGGACATGATAACCAAGTGAGTAGTTACTTCATTTCGATGTAAATTCCTTTCTAAAAGGCAATCCTCCTTCAGAGCTGGCTTCTCGGGCAACGGTTACCTGGAGCTGCCCTCGCAGTCGCTTCGGAAACGCTCAAACACCGCTTTGGTGTTCCGCACCTTGCAACCGGACTGCCTGCTCCTCCTGGCCGCCTATCCGCCGGAGGTCCTGGCCGACTACGATGCCAAGGACATCAAGGGCAACTACTCCATGAGCCTGGTAGATGGCCAACTGCATGTGTGGGTGAACTCGGGCCGCAGCTTCATCAAGATGTCCTCCAACTTCAGCCAACTGAACGATGGCGAGCTGCATGTGGTGAATCTGATCAAGACGGGCCGGAAGCTTGAGCTGATGGTGGACGATGAGCTGCAGGAGGTGCGCAGCCTGACCGGCACTCCGACGGTGATCAGTCTGCCCCGCGACACGGGTGGCCTCTATATAGGCGGAGCCCCGCCCCACGAGAGCTACACCCCGCTGGCACCCACTTTCGTGAACCTGGAGGGAGCTATCCGAGACGTGGTGTTCAACAACCGAACCGTGAACTTCAACGACGCTCTGACCTTCGCCAACGTTCAGATTGGCCGCAATGGTCCCCTGATGGGCAGCCTCAAGGGGGCACTCTACGATGTCCTGCTGAAGACGGAACCGATGATTGGGAAGAGTTTCACGGCCTCGCCCGAGGGCTGCAAGCGGGTAAGTTGCTAGAGCCTTCTTCTTCTCGGGCCTGGTTTGAATGGGGTTAAAGACGGGATCGGGGTTTCGCTGTCCATCTGATGCATGTAAATATGTGGCTGCCTAACTATATTAAACTCAACCGTTTCTCTTTGTTTTATAGGATTTTAGTTGCTAAGCAATTATGTCAAAAGCGACTACGCTAAAAGCTTCAAGCGCTGCGCTTCACGAAAGCTCATTTGTATACTAATTTCGCCTAAAACAAAACAAAATCTAACCAAACAAGCTACTCTATGTGGTCTACATGTGGATTAATATAATAGCCCAACCATCATCAAAGATATAACCTCAGTTCTAGCATTAAGCTTCAGGCTTCAGGAAAATGCCCACAAGAGCACGCTCAGAGGGGACGCTTCAAAGACCTCTGCACCTGCTCCTGTGGGCTGGCTGATTTACATACATTTAAGCCCGGTAAACGATCGTTTTAAGCTTCTGGGAGCACCTATTCATAGTTTTTAAGAAATGCTCTATGATGTAAATATTTCATACGACATGTTTGCTTAGAGATAAGCCCGCTCCAGAGCTCACCTTAATTCGTAAGACTCGCCATATTCAGATCACACACATCACTCATCAACGCTTTGTGTACGTTTTTGCTTTCATTACTGTATTATACAATTAACATTTGCTTACTGCAACGTGGACATTTAATTGTTATCACATTTTACCAAATAAAACATTTTTATAACAACGAAAATCGAACAGAAATCATGGCAAAGTTTTTATTTTCTAACTCACACTCGCTGGGTGAGTTCTCTCACTCGGCAAAGATGCTACGCTTAAATCTCAGAAACTAACACAAAGTCGTCGCGGTGAGTTGAGTTCCAATCCGAACTGGGATAGATCTGGGCCTAATCACGTTACTCTCTTCCAGATCGGCAGCTACTCCTACGAACCGAACGCCTTCAAGTTCGGCGACGACATCTACAGCTACTCCCAGTTGAAGCTGCCGGAGCGTCACTTTTGGCAGCGCAACTTCCACCTGAGCTTCGACTTCCGCTCCTTCTATCCGAACGGCATGCTCTTCCTGTCCCCGGGCAGCAAGGAGAAGCCGAAGCACTACGTAGCCCTCATCCTCAAGGACGGGCAGCTGGTCCTGGTAGTACGCGGTCGGCGGCGCGAGGAGCTCCAACTGACGGCCAAGTTGAACGACGGCGAATGGCATCGGGTGACGGTGGGTTGTCAGGACCGCAAGGTTACCATGTCGGTGGAGATTGGACGCACAGACCAAAAGACCTCCGCCCAGATGAAGCTGCCCAAGAAGATTGGCGCCTCGCAGCTGCTCTTGGTCGGCGGACTGCCCCAGGCACCGGTCAAGGTGTCCTCGGAGCTCTATGTCCGCCTGGAGCCCTTCAAGGGCTGCCTGCGGCGAGTCAGCATCAACAACAGTACCCAGGACCTGGCCCGTCCCGGCAAGCACTCGAACGTGGGTCAATGCTTCCCCACTGTGGAGAGGGGCAGCTACTTTCCCGGCGATGCATACGCAATTTACAGTCAGTTTGAGGAAGTTTGGTATTATGATGATTTCTAATGTTGACCTATTTGTCTTTGCAGAGAAAAACTTTAATGTCGGCAAATACCTGGATCTAGAAACGGAATTCCGGACGTCGGAACTATCGGGAATCCTGCTAAGTGTCTCAGAGCCCAAGGGTTATCCTGCCCTATCTCTGGAGCTACTCAATGGCAATGTAAGCTGTTAAATTGGTATTAATCTTAACTTGAATACATATAAATGCAGCATTGCTAAGTAGAAAGTTTTTCGAAAATCAGTACAAAACAATCGTAACGTGTAACTGATCTTATTGTTATATTGGTCTTTGGTTGTGCAAGCCCTTTAAAAATAGTTTCTTATAGTATCTTATATAAATAACGCTAATTTATCTAATTACATACAACTTAATTACATTTATTTAATAGATAATATTCTCCTGCGATCTCGGGGATGGAGTGCCCATGCGTGTGGAGTCTGCACTGCCCACGAAGTACGCTCTATGTGACAACAAGTGGCACAACATATCGGCCCTTTACGACGGCGAGCAGATTGTCCTCCGCATCGACCAGTTGCCAGCCGTGATTGGCGTGGGAAACCAGCAAAGTGCAGGGAAGGTGCAAACACGCTCTCCTCTCTACATAGGCGGGCTGCCAGGTAAAACTAGTTATGGCATAGCCACATGATTTTACACAGAAGTATTTAACTTGTCAATGTCCTGGCTTGCAGAAATTGCTCCCAGTGGGTCCCTGATGGCGCGGGAGAATTTCAAGGGCTGCATCCGGCACGTGTCCATCCGGAACGAGAGACGCGACTGGATCGACATGGACGACCTCAGGAACGTGCTGCTGAGCGAGTGCCTCGTGTCCAGCGATGATAGCTGAAGCAGAACGCATTCTGGGGTTCATATGGTTCCTGTTGACGCCACACCAAAACTTTTTCCAAATGTATTGTGATCAATAACGAGTTTAGAGCCAGTTATTTATAGCCTTTCACTGCCATATAAGCTAGGTTACTTAGGATTAGCTTTGCCTACTTTTACTTAATTGCCAGTGACTGCATTTCGAAGTTTGCGATTCGATTTTTAATTTATTTGCTAGTTTATTTCGATCTAATTTTGTCCTTTATTTATTTTATATTCTAAAAGAGGCTTTAAGTTTGTATTGTATCATGGCATACAGCTTATACTACATTTGTGTTTAACGAATCTCGCGTTTGTACATTTCGCTTCGAAATTTACTTTAGTTATTTGCATATTTTCATTTGTACATAGAATCGGCCATTTAGTAAGTAGTTACCTAAACATTTATTTTAAATAATATCATTTTAATAAATAAAAAACACTTTTATTCAAACTTTTAATTAAAAATTGGTTTCAATAAGAGCTTAGGAATCATTTTCGGGCTATTGGCGTATACCCAATATGGTTCAGCTTAAATATTTCTCTTTTATTTATTATTATCTTTAAAGACACACGCTTTATTATTGTTCTATAAAATAAAAAGCTTTTTGATGACATCACAGTATCTGTACCAGTTTGTCGGAGTTCTTATGGAACGCAAGCATTAAATGTGACGATCCTGACAGATCTATTGATCCTAGAAACCTAATACCTTTTATTGTTTAGTTTAAAAATTTAAACTTCCTCCACATATTCAAAGTGAGTGAGAATTCCACTAGTTCACACTTTACATAAATAAAGCCAACGCGTATTGTAATGTTTTACATTTTCCAAAAGTCGTTTTCTTAGAGTTTTGTTTCACCTGCTTGAATCATTACTGTCGATACTCTACTACTACTGTATATTTTATAGCCCTTTGCACACAATGAGTTTTGCGCAAAAGTCTCTGCGAAGCAGCCGACGAACCCGCAGATCTTTCGGCTCCTTGGATATTGGCCACTACATTTACTGTGTCAATTTTTACGACAATGGACTGAGGGCTGTGCGCGATGAGTTTGTGAAGCGCGTGGCCAGCGGTACTCGTCGGGAAGTATTCGTAATCGATTTGGATAAGGAAGTCGAAGAAGCAAACAATCAAAACCAGCGAATCTCCAGGTTAAGGTCACTGGGTGAGCACCCTCCCCAATTTCTCCCAGCCTGTACTCATAGTTTTAGTCCAGGATCGGTGAAATCTGCCGTGGATAGACTGAGCGTTGCCCTGATGCGTATTCGCGACTGTGTCGCCGAGTACGACAAGGTAACTAAGGACATTGAGGCGGAGGCGAATTTCGACCTACACAGCTACTGGCAACGGAATATTCCAGCACAGCTGAAGAACCTTACGCCAGTGGCGACCAAGAAAAAGGATGTCACTGAGTCAAGCCGGGGTTTGGCAACAGCAAAACCAAAAGCTGGTAAAAGCACCAGTGACAAGGTGCACTTGGCTAAGATCAACTGTAGGTCGATCACGGCAAAGGAGCATCACAAAGTCGGCAAGGGTTTGCCGGCGTCCAGGCGGGTGGTAAGTTTAAGTAATTTTATATAAGACCCCCTACAATTTTTATTACGATTCAATTTCAATTTCGTCAGCATCAACATTGATTACTTTTGTCTGTCCGTTTCTAGGAAAATCTGAATACGCAATTGTAGATAGTCCACCATATATCATGACTGTTTTTGTTATAATATTAAAATTATAAAGAAAAATTTTTACCCAACAGGGCACTAGGAATTTATTACTAATTACTAACCAATTGTCCTACCTCTAGTACATCAGGGATCATCCTGTATTCACCAAGCTCCTGATCCTGATCGTAGGGAGTATGGACAACGACTTCTACAAGATGCTGCTAGCCAGCGAACAACCATTGCGAGCGATCGTCCACTTTCTGCCCGAGGAGAGCGCCTACGATCTTCTTGTGCCGCGACCCCGTCGCGTGGTGCAGCTCAAGGAGACGCTGGCGGCCATCCAGAGAGACATCCACTCACTGCGTAAGCGGACTGCCGTGAAGCCGGTGGGCATCTTCCAACAACAACTGCCACAAATGTCCGCCTGCATGGCATCCAAGTTCACTGATGATGTGTTCGACCAACTGAGCTGGTACATGTACGACTTGGAGACCCTCCGGGAATGGTATCGCATGTACTATGTAGAGCCCTATAATGAGATCGACGTGAAGATGAACCCCCTTTTGTCTATGCGGGAAACATTTCACATGGTCGAGTCGCTCAGCATCCAGGGACACTATCTCAAGAGCCAGATGCCGAATGCCCGTGCCGACGATGTAACCATTTACCTGTATTTGGAATCAATGATGAGCACGTTCGGCAACCCTCGGGATCTAATGACCGAAGAGGAGGTGTTGATGCTGGCCAACCCAACGCCGTCGGTTCAAACCCGAGTGCTGGACAAAGTGAAGGTATATGCAAATGCCTTTAAAAGCTTGGTCAAGCTGGCAAAGAACGAACGCATATTCGTCGAGCAGGCCAACAGCCTGTTGGCCAATTTGATCTCTTACATGGACCAGTCCGTGATGCAGAGCGTCTACTCCAGCTGCTTGGAGTACAACCTGTTGCGACGCTATTTCTCCACAGGCTACATAAGCCATTCACTGCACGTTGAACCGTACCACGGTGAACTAGAGCTTATATGGCTGCCGAAGTATGCCGAGCTGTATCTCACAGATGACTCGGTGACGCAGCGCATCCTTCAGCTTGTGAACGAATACGATGACTTCAGCGTGGAGGAAATGCATCCCAACGTCCGGCTCTACACCTTCCGGAGGACCTTCAACGAGGTCTTCGAGAATGAGAAGCAGATAGTGATTCCAACGCGTCTCTGCTTTCGGGACTTTACACTGTACGAAATGGAGCAGTTCCTTAACGACCTTGTCACCCCGAAAATGTTTAACGATATGAACGGAAGCCATATATCCGCAGACCAGAGCTTTTATAATGATAACAATAACATAAGCGATACAATTATGGTCGCGTGCAGTGAGGACAACGTTCGTGTTCCAATAAACTCCAACATCTTCGTCCGACCCCGATCGATCAAAGGTCAGCTGTCGAAGGACAGGAAGGTGGAACAGGATGATAACCGATCCATAAGCCAAAAACCTTCGATGCTTCAAGACGTACAGTCAATCAAAACTAACCGTCACTCTAGTGTGGCAACGAAGGACTTGCAAAGCGCGGAATCTAAGACATTTCAAGTGGGTTTAGGTCAAGACCACCCCATGCTAAAGGGTTACAATCTGGACGACACCTTGCAGACGATAAAGTGCAAGACCTCCAAGTACTTCTTCGAGGAAGGCCGAATCATTCTGTACGAGGAGATGTGGAACTTCCGTCAGATGAACAAAACCCTCTTGCTAGAGATCGGTGGTCAGAAGGTGCACTTCCGGAGTGCTGCTAGCCCGATCGACGCTCTGGCGGCCGATGGCTGTGTTCGGATCGAGTCCAAGAACGGCATCAGTGTTCGGGCGTTGGCCAGCGATAGTGAGTGTTCTAAAGCGGTTCTGAGCTTTCCGAACGGACTGAGTACCTTCTGCCAGGACACCCATGTGGAACACATGTGGCAATACCAGGTAAGGCTATTGGGCGTTCAAAAAAGAAGTAGAAATGAAAGGATCATGAGATTTGATGTATGAAGATATATTTTTACTAACTACTGACCGGTTTCCAACATCCAACAGGACAATGAACTGAAAGAGAGCCGGCGTGTTTGCACACCCTTCGGTTGTGTAATCGTATTCTATCAAAGCACCGACACCGTACTGATCATGCGTTACAACGGCGAGGTATACCACCTGTATAGCTCAACGGAGGCTGACAACGAGGAGGAGGAGGATCAGAACTCGGAATTTCTCAACGCTTGCTCCACGCAATCCACCTACAGCAGTTACCATCCCATTGCCACAGACGGGAAGAAAAAGGGCAGGTGCCGTCAATTTCGGTCAAAGACAAGCTCCGCCTTCCGAGAGTCGGGTGGGGCAGACAATGTGCTTCGACCTTCGGTTCAGAGTACGGACTCCAAGAAGACCCAGCAAAGTCGTGTCTCCAAGGAATCTATTGCGGGGGACAGGAAAAGCCGCACTGCCAAGAGCAAGCAAGCCGCCGCCCTATTCGCCAGTGTCCAATTCGAGATGAACTTCCTGAAGTTCATTATGGAGCTGTACAAACTTAGCTACCGCCACCTAAAGCTGATCACCTCCGTGGGCAGCGTGGTTCACATGCAGCAGGACGGAAGTATCTGGTGTGGCAAGCCCTTCCGGAACAGCGAGTGGCACGACTACTTCGCCAACGAGGCGTATTCGATGCGCGACGATGGTGTCAAGATGGTCTGGTCGCTGGAGGAGCTGCGGTGCTACCACAGTGACGGTACTGTCATCACTTCGGGCACCATTGACGGCTGGGACCCTGGCACTGAAGTGGATGAAATCGATTTAGAGATTAGTTCGAGCAGTTCGCATCTAAACAGAGATACTCCAGAAAAAAGGGTGGGTTCTATTCAAGGTTTGCAAAGTGCAAATCTTTTCCCATTTACTCGTCTTTCTATTTAATATTAATCAACATATATATTTTAATTTTTGATATTGTAGCAAAAAGAAAAGGAAACCATTTACATAAATAACCCGACCGGCCTGTCGTATGGTGTGAGCCAGCCTGTCGAAATTGATTTAGTGTCTAAATCCTCAAGCATAACGACGACGCCTAAATTGGCTTCTATGACCGATTATTTGGTGGAAGAGGAGGAGGGAGAGATCATCCACGACATGAGCTATATCACATACATGCTAAACAGTGTTTTTATACACCACCGGGTCTATGCAGGAATCAAATTCTCGAACGTGGATCTGAGCTTCGATACCACAATCTTCACCAGCGACAACCTGAGGGTTCGCGTTTTCAAGGATCCTTCGGAAGGAGAGTTTCAGCAATATGGGCAGGACTCGGACTTTCTATCATCCGAAGCCGATTCAGATGAATGGACGAAACCGGGCATACGAAAGACCGCGAGGATACCAGGACAGTCCGAAGAGTTATCCGAAGAGGTATCGGAATCGGTTGTGATTGATCCTACGGCTGTGGAGATTGAGGGCGACAACTTGATGCTGAGGATACATAAAAATAACGTTACCATACAAACTCAGATTCAAAAACCTGGATGCAACGAGAATGCAAAATGCGGACTTACACGTATTCAGTAAGTACAACAAAACAAGAGGTAATTTTGATAAAAGGCAAAGTGCAGAATCAGAACATTCGATACAAGTTGTTACGATTTTGAATTTGACAATTATTTAATTCCAATTTCTTATAGAGATGATATTAAATTGAAAGTTAACTTTGACCAGAGCCTATCACTCACATTTCGCAATTGGGTAGATACGGTAACAAGTTTTATCAACTGTTTTTGTCCCAAATGGAGAACGAAGTACTTTGTAGAAACTCAAAACTCGAGATGCCAAAAGAAAGGTGGGAGAACTATTTCATCCCGAATGTTATAATCCATTGATTTCCTTTAGGCTTTGACTTGTTTACTTCGGTTCCGCCCCTGGGTCAATATAACTTTTGTGCGGGCAACTACTTTATCGATGTGAGTGCACTGACTTCGGTAAATAGCCTGTTGAAGAATCACTACGACTGGGTCGACAAAGATATGGAAAAGTTTCCGCGCTTTCCGCTCCATAAGAAGGAGCCACCGGTTACTGAGTTCCCCTTGATTCTTAACTCCAGGTATGTTTTTCAATGTCAAAGCGTGTATCTTCTGATCAGAGCTTTTTTAAGGATCTTTGTGGAGATACCAGCGCAACTTGGCAACACCGATCGGCTTCACCAGTTCGTTTCGGAGTTTGATACGATACAGTTCAAGAAGCAGCGATATCGGTTTAACAAGTGAGTTGTAAGATAAACCAAGTAGGACACTGATTTTTTATATTCTCATAGTGCTGCTCTTTTTCACCTCCATCCCCGGCTGCGCTCGATTATGCAATCGGAAATAAGCAAGCGCAGCTGGAAGAGTCGTCACGCAGAACACCGACGACGGTTGTTTATGGAGCAGCAGCGTCTCAGTCTTTACATGGCCATGCTGAAGCACAAGGTGTACCCAAATTACTTCCAGTTCAAGGATAAATTCTACTCCCACGTCCGAAATATCGACTTCTTTGAGTTTATGACCTCCAAGTGCAACGAGAATGTCCACCCCCATGAGATTGAGTTGGATCGGGTTGAACCAACCGAGAATCCACCAAAGAAGCCCAAGCATAAAAGTAATAAGAAGTGTGTCTGCCCCAAGTATATTTCCTCATTAGACTAGCTCAAGTAATTAGAATACGCCGAAATAAAGGTTTAATAAAAATTTAAATGGTTCAAAATGGTTGAGTCAAATTTTTTACTTATTGCCACCGCATTTCCTTCGAATCTAGATCCTATTTTCGTCCAGGATGCCCTTTTCTGGCTGTGCCGGCGGTATAAATGCATAAAATAAAATATAAATGTTTATACCAGTTATTATTTCCGGCCCTAAGTTTTTAATAACAGTTTATACCAATTATCAATTAAATAAATAAATAAATATTTAAATTAATTATTTTTTATTGTTTAAATATTATAAATTTCAATTAACGGGGGAAATAAATAATAATTTAAGTCGCAACTGAAGCTAGAGAAATTAAAATTAATTTCAGCAGCCCATCCAAATTTTGGACAATTTCTATGCAATTTGGCCATTTCTCAAATTGGGGTACCAGGCGAACAGAAACCAGCAGCAAGCAACTAAAAACTGTTATAAAAAGTCCAAGTTTCGAACCATTTAGGAGCAAGCGAAAGTAACGGCTGTTTTCCCAAAATGCAACTCTGGGCAGGCAGCTCAGAGAGGGATAGCAAGTGTCCAGAAAAGAAGAGAGCAGACAACACAGAGTTGTATTTTGGGAAAGAAGCCAGGTTTGAGTCTCCGCTGACTTTCGCTTGCTCCCATAAGGTTCGAAACTTGGACTTTTTATAACAGTTTATACCAGTTTTCAGTTGTTTGCTGCTGGTTTCTGTTCGCCTGTTACCCCAGTTTGGAAAGCGGCCAAATTGAATTAAAAAATTTTCTCACTTGCATCAGTGATGCTCATCTGCATCAGTGATGCTCATCTGGCTATTTTGCATTATTGGGACAAAATGGCATTTCTTTAACTGCCAGTGATGCTCAACTACCTGTTTTGCATTATTTGCATTTATTTCTCACTAACTGTCAGTGATGCTCATCTAGTTTTTTTTTGCATTGTTGGGACAAAATGGCATCTCTCTAACTGTCAGTGATGCGCATCTAGATATTTTGCATTATTGGGACAAAATGACATTTCACTAACTGTCAGTGATGCTCATCTAGCTATTTTGCTTTGATGTTTCTTTCATTTTCCACCGCAAGAATGCCCTTCCATTGAGCCTGTTTAAATTATCCCACCCAAAAAAAACCGCATCCTCCTCATAACTCAAAAATAAGACATTTTTTAAGGTTTATTATTTATTTCAGCTTTAAATAAATAAAAGAAGAAAAGGTGAGGCATGTGGGAATGTCGGAGGTCGTTCCCAGTGGTTTCGACTCGGTCTTGGTGGCACTTGGTCCACTTCTGCTCCTCCTTGTCCTGATCCTCCTTGCCAACGCTCTCTGTCTCGCCTTCGGCACCCGCTTTCAGTTCCTGGCAGCTTGCTGCAATTAAATTTAAAAAATGGGTGCGATTTATTTTAATAAAAGCTGTTCTGAGTTTCCTTTTCTAAGCCTAACAAAACTGCATACTACCTTTAGGGTTCTTTTCAATTTCATTTTTTCTAAATTTTTTAGAATTTTAATGATGGTACCCCTTACATATTTTTGCAAAAATGGTTCGATTTATTTTTGGGGAAAATAACTAATATTCAAAGGTTCATAACTCAGTCAGAAATGCATGACATTCATTTCGGAAAGTTTTTCTAAGTGGGTTATTCTAAGCTTAACAAAACTGCCTACTTAGTTTTGCTTTAATACTTACCTGTAATTTTTAAATAATTGTTTAAACAAAAATGAGCAAGAAACTAATTTTTAAAGGTTCACAACTCAGTCAAAAATGCATGAAATTTAATTCGAATAATTTCAATTATTTAACCATAATGGCTCGATTCTTAGTGATCCAATTGCAATCTGCAAGGGTATACAAACTTCAACGTGTCGAAGTTAGCTTCCTTTCTTGTTATTCTTGTTATTGTTGACCAATTTTCTAAAATTTTTTTTTTTTCGTGTAGCTTGATCTATGCAGAAGCAACACAAAAAGGAATGGAATAGATAACGGTTTATAGGACATTGGTAAGGGCAAAAGAATAAGTGAACGTAAAGTGTCGTACTTATGTACATACGTATATTTTGGTTTTACCCTAAATTTAATTCTATTCAATTTAAGCCATAATCTCGTAATTTACTTTATTAATAAGTATAAAATTTAGCTTTGGAATTGGCCAAAATAAATAGGCATATTATCTTATGCTTTTAGCATTAATCCTATGAACCGTTATCTTTCGTATCCCTCTTTAGATAGCTTCTGCATAGATCAAGTTACGCGATACAAACAAAATTAGGAAAATGGATCGACAAATACAAGAATAACAACTAAAAGAAGCTGGGATGTGCGAATAATCGTGCATTTGTGTAAATACTATTGACTACCTCTGTATATTTATAAAGTATACATATTTTTCCGACGAGTGTTTGTATTTTCAAATATGAGCGATACTTTTAAATGTAAGAACCCCATCTGTATATCCTACTATTCCACTTTAACGCTAACTAATCAGCGCTATTTTAAATTATATTATTTGGTATTTTTAAATTTTCCCTAGCTAGTATTTTTATCAGTGCTATAATTAGTGTTGCCCTGCTAGCTATTTTAATGTTAGATCTAGCTACTAAATGAAGACATAAAGCCATTCCAAGCTCGACGCTCGTTTAAATAACACTGAAAATATAATATTTTATATTTATTAAAATATTTGTACAACTATAATGAACTTTACCTATCGGAATATAAGAAAATATATAACAAATGGTAATTATGGGGCACTTGCACTGCCAAAATCTTAAAACTTTTTCTAGCTATTTTTTCTGCAATTGAGCAACTCCGGCCAGGAATTTCTGGCAGCACTGCCACTACCACGCGCTCGCCCAAATCAGAAAGTAAACAAATTTCAGGGTTCCACAAGATTCGGGGAAAACAATGGGAGTTCGCGGCCTTACCAGCTACATAGCGCAGCGCGCCGAGATCTATCTGAAGCCCTTTGAGCTCCACTCCTCGGCGCTGGTCATAGATGGCGACAATCTGGCATGCAATTTGTACAAAGATGTGACCGGCAGCTACTCTGCGTTCGGCGGCGACTATGACGATTTCTACCGGGCGGTCGTGCAGTTCTTCCAGGTGCTGGCGGAGTGCAGCATCCGGCCATACGTACTGATGGATGGTGGCTATGAGGAGCGCAAGTTGCGCACCGTGGCCACTCGGTTGCGGGGCAAGATTTCGGTGATCAAGAAAATCAATCCGACTGACTCCATTACTCTCTTCCCTTTGCACCTGAAAGAGGTGTTCGTGGATGCAGTGCGCGACTGTGGCGTGCCTGTGATGCGGTGCGTTTTTGAGGCGGACGATGAGCTGGCGGCGCTGGCCAGAAAGCTCAACTGCCCCGTGCTCTCCTACGACTCTGATTTTTACATCCACAATGTGAAGTACATACCCCTCATCACGCTTACTGTGAAGGTAAATCTGCTCTTTTGCCACATGTCCCAAGGCTACTTACACTTCTGATGCGCAGGTGCTCACCAAACAAGTGAAGGATAAGAGCAAAGCCCATCAGGAGTCCCGGGATCTGCGGCGCAACGAGGCCAAACATGTGGAGAAGCGCACCAAGGCCAACAAGATTGTGGGGGGCATTCAAGCGCCAGCCCAGGTGGATAGGCCCAAGGGGAATACCAAGACGTACAAGTACCTTGACTGCTGCATTTACCGAGTTTCACATCTCTGCGGACGCGGTACACTCAGTGCGGAGAAACTGCCGCTCTTTGCTGCTCTCCTGGGCAACGACTACATAGCCAGGAGCGCCTTCCGAAACTTTTTTGCAGTCGGAATGGGCAAAGCTGGACGGAGTCGCAAGCTGAAGCAGCAGCAGAAGCGCATCCAAGTCATCCTCAAGTGGTTGAAGGAGGAAACAGCTGAGACGGCCCTAGCAAAGGTTCTATCTAGGCTGAAAAAGGTTTGATTGCTGCCTAATATTTTTTGAGGAATAACCTTTATATAGATTCCTAAATCCATTGCAGAGTCAACGAGATTCTCTGGTGTCCCAGGTCCATGCAGCCATTTCGGGTTACTCAAATGAATTGTGCCATGCCTACGATTTCTTCAAGGAGCATTATGAAAATGCATTTCCCTATATCGAGCCGCCAAGTGAGGGGGAACTCAGCGAGGAAGACGATTTAGTGGACTCGAATGGAGATGCTTCTGAAGAGGAAGATGCCAACGCAGACCAACCTGCCGAAGAGGAGGAGGCTGCCGAAGATCAGGAAGTAGACTCTGATGGAGATGAAGAAGAAGAAGTGGAAGTGGAGGATAAAACTCTTCTCTTCCCGCAATGGTTTCTGGACAAACTGTACCCAGCAAATCTCTCCAGATATTTTGTGGACCTTATACACCTGCGCAAGTACATAAACAATCCGCAGATTGAGCACTTTCCCTTCCATGATTCAAACGAACTAGCTCTGCCCATTTTGAATTATGTGTTCTCCCTGCTCCACCATGTGGAGGGTGCAAAAACGGAGCCACAATTGGATGAGGAAGGAAATCCACTGCCCATAGAGTTTACCTACCTGACACGAGCTGTTCGGGTGACCAATGTGAAGTATCTGAAGATGCCCATTGAGAAGGAGCCCGAGTACTCCTTTGAACCCTCTTGTCCAGACGCACGACACTTGAGGTTTATATTCGAGGCGAATTTGCCGCATGTGGAGACGGAGAAGTTGTTCAGGAAGCTGGAAGACCTGCCGGAGGATCTTCGGCTTTACTTCCTAGCGATAATATACTGGCTGCATCGATCGGAGCACTGCGATCAGCTGCACCTCCACGCCCTGCTCCTCGGCTTAATTGTTCTGCGAACAATTGATGTTACCATACCAGCGGAGAGGGAGGTAAAAGCATTCCACAAGAGGTTTGGCAAGATTCTGAAGCAGGAACGCTCCGTGAGAGATAAGGAAGCCGCCGAGGGCATCAGGCGTGGCATTAAGCCGTCCCTTTTGGAGCTTCCTGTGCCAGACCGAATGCCGCATGTACCGAAATCGGACTGCTACTTGACCCAAGAACGCCTGTTGCCACACTTCCACATGCAGGAAATATTCAAGAAGAAGTTCGATCTGTACTCGTCGACCGTTATTCATGCTTTTGCCGAATTTCAGGCTGTGGTCTATCAACTCAATGGGCTCAACGCCCTCCTAGACTTGCCCTTGCCAAGTCCGCGAATGAATCAACTATTCTGCGGTGCCTTTCTCTACAATATGTACGATCTTCTGAGAAATCGCACGGATGTTCGCTATCATATCGAGAATTTCCTCCTGCCCGACTCGAAGCTAATGTTTGACTTCTACTGCTATCTGTACGACTGGTGTGCGGAGTTCATTCCACATTGGAAGGAAGTGGAGGTGGATGAGTCGGCGGCGAAGGCGATACAAAAGAAGCGATTGAAGAAGCAGCGGCAGGCGGCCAGGAAAGCGGAAGCCAAGGAGTCTAATGCAGATACCAATGCGGACTTGGTCAAGGATGCAGAACCTGAAGACGATTTCTATGACTTGAATAACAAATTCTGTGCACTCAAAGTTTCTTAGTGGGTTTAAGTTTTGCAATTTAACTAAGTTACCAAATGATTATTTTGTTGATTGGAATAAAAATGTTTTTTTACCAAAAAAAATTACGCAAATGTAGATGCTTTTTAAAATTTTAATTCTAAAAATTATGAGCTATGTGATATATGTATTTAATCAGAAATTATTAAACTATATACATTTAAATAAATATATTGACTATTTTAAAGATACATTCATGGTTTCAGTTAAGTTTAAGTTATTTGTTTATAGTTTACATTATTTATTTTTTAATTCTAAAAATACTAAGTACAAAAGGATAATTTTAGTACTTTCTCTTGGTATATTTGGCCGCATCAGCTACGGGCACACTTCGGGCGACGTCACTGCTGCTGTTATCGTTGTAATCAACAAAAAAAAAGAAAATAAACCAAGCCATTTCGCAGCCGACTGATTAAAATACTCGCTTAGTTTATTATCAGGGCTCCGACACTGCCAACACCAAATGCCACCGCTGTGACCTCGGGCCGGAGCAGGAGCAGTGCTGCCAGCACAAGCAACGGCCAAACACAAAGGCCCCAACCGAAAAAACCAAAACGTCATTGGCTGGCAATTAACCAACAGACGGCGACGCCTGCAACGGAAGTGGAGGCGGTCTCGATCCAGCTGCCACGCCCCCTCTACCACCGCCTCTCGGGCAGTAGATGCTGGTGGGACTCAGCGATCAGCTAGCCCGGATTATGGAGAGCGTCTTCGAGGCGTATTTGGGACCGGACAGCGTCCTCGCCAGCGCCGTCGGCCAGGCTGTGGGTAGCGGCGAACCGGAGGATATACCTAGGCGGAACACGGATGTCTGGGTCCTGGGCAGGAGATTTAATGCCATACAGGGTGAGTAGGGTGACTTAGTAAACCGAAATGAGTCATGCATGGAGTAAGGGGCTCTTATCTTTTGTAAAAATCCCGATGAGACATTTCCTCGCCAGAAACAATTAAAAGCTGAATGAATTACTTTGTCATAAAGTTTGATTTTTAAAAATTATTATTTCTGCTTACCAGAACTCGAGCTTATCCGACGCGACATACAGTCCCGGCTGTGGTGCACCTACCGCCATGGATTTTCGCCGTTGGGAGAAGTCCAACTTACCTCCGACAAGGGATGGGGCTGCATGCTCCGCTGTGGCCAAATGGTCCTCGCCCAGGCCCTAATTGAACTCCACTTGGGTCGCGACTGGTTCTGGACGCCAGAGTGCCGGGATTCCACCTACCTCAAGATCGTACACCGTTTCGAGGACGTAAGGAAGAGCTACTACTCCATACACCAAATCGCTCTGATGGGGGAGTCTCAAAACAAGGCCGTTGGAGAGTGGCTGGGACCGAATACAGTAGCCCAGATCCTCAAGTAAGAGTGTAGCTCCTCTCCTCCAGTCACCCCTTATTGCATTTCATTCGTTTCAGGAAACTGGTGTGTTTCGATGACTGGAGCTCACTCGCAGTGCACGTTGCCATGGACAGCACTGTGGTTCTCGACGACGTATGTAAGTTGAAAATATTTTGGGCTCAAGGAGTACCTTTGATAAAATCCTTAATCTATCGCACGCAGACTCGCTGTGTCGAGAAGGAGACTCTTGGAAGCCGCTGCTGCTCATTATACCCCTACGTCTGGGCATCACCGACATCAATCCACTCTACGTGCCAGCCTTAAAGAGGTGCCTTGAACTAGATAGTAGTTGCGGCATGATCGGTGGTCGCCCCAATCAGGCTCTGTACTTTCTGGGTTATGTGGATGACGAGGTGCTCTACCTAGATCCGCACACGACGCAAAGAACGGGCATGGTGGGCCAGAAAACCGAAGCGGGAGAACAAGAATACGACGAGACCTACCATCAAAAGCACGCTGCCCGCCTGAGCTTTTCCGCCATGGATCCCTCGCTTGCTGTTTGCTTCCTTTGCAAGACCAGTGACAGTTTTGAAACACTGCTAGCCAAGTTCCGGGAGGAGGTTCTTAGCCTTTGTTCGCCGGCTCTGTTCGAGATTAGCCAGACTCGCGCCGTGGATTGGGACACGGCGGAGGATATTGACTGGCCAACTATGCCCGATATTGACTGGCCGGCGGGCACCTCGGACTCGGATTCGTTTGCCCTATTTGGTAAGAGCGGGAATTGAACTCAAAGGGGGGTATGCATTTCCTTGCGCTTCGCTGCTTTCAATTACCTTTTTCACGGGCACGACAATACAGGTGACCATGTGCCTCAGCTTCACCTTAATAAAATGCCTATGATAAGCCTCGATTTATCCATGTCCGTACGAAATTGCATATCTCAGAGATTATTCCGAATCTGGTGATAATTGCTTACTTTTAACTTCACAAATTATAAAAAAAAACAGTAGCTAAACTCTGTATATACATAAATTAATTTTGGTTTATACTACATTAATATCAAATAATAGAACCGGTGCGTAGTTTTCTATATTAATGTATTATAATCGGTTAATAATCATGGGAACTAATTCACTAACTAATTAATTACAGATTTTCTTACAACAACAAGTAAAGTATATATTGAATTGTGCATTATAAGCTTCACTTTTCCCCAGTTGAAATATATTAATTTTCCTTCTAACACTAAATTGTTGTAATATTTAGGATAAAACTTGTCAAATCAGTATAAACTAAGAAGAAAAACAAAACACTATAAGAAATGCTTTAATGGAGATATATATTTATTCCAAGGAGATCTTTATTAGTTAATACTTACTGGAGGCCTCTGAAAGTTATTAAACCCACTCAAAAAGGAACTCAACATTCCCTTCTCTTATCAATTCACTCCATTCGACAGAAGAGACCGGGAGAGACGGCGACGCCGGCAGCAGCGGAGGCAGCGGCAAAAAAACCCAGTGAGAGCGCCATCATTTGAGTGGGTCACCGGCACAGAGCGAGCTCCCTCTCTCGCGACGCCTGCGCCGCAGCGCCGAAAACAGACGAAGCCGAGCCAGGCGAAAGTGGAGCAGCAGCTGAGGATGCGGCCAGGGACGGGGGAAGAGGGCTGGATGCGGAGGACGATGGACGATGCTGCGAATGCAATAAACTAAGGCTAAAGTGCATAATTAGACGACGAGCTGGTTGAGATTTAGATTTTAGAATGTTTACGATTTGTACGAATGAGAGACTTAGCGATTCATAATAATGCTGTTTTATTGTACGCGATATTGACTCCACGGGAGACAATTTGGCAAGACATACACACACAGACAGACACACGCTTTTTTGATGATCAATTAAACATTTTTATGCAACGTTGTACATGAAAAACCTAAAGAGATCGATCGCTTTACGCCAAGTGTCTGCATAATATTCATATATTCGTTTCGTATATTCTTGTCTGTATATGCTGAAAAATGGACCAACAACTAAATACATAATACTTGGACTATATATGTATATATCTCTATATATATATTAACTTCACTGCTCGCCTCTGGACACAAACTGAAGCTGCACAAAAATAAGGAACTTTTCTCGAGTGAACAAACAAAGGACAAGAAATGTTGGAATCTACGTTAACAACAAACTCGGGCCTATGCAGCTGGCAATTGACACTAATTGGGTTGATCTTTGTGATCTCTTGGCTCCAAGTCCCCACGGAAAGGCAAACTTTAATTTTTGAATAGGCTTTTCCTGTAACTTCTATCTTGAACTCGGCATTCATGTTTTATCTTAGTTGGGAACTGGGAATATCTTTCAGTAATCTCATTCGTTGCTGATCTGGTTTCTCCTGCCAATCTACGGAAAACCAAGTTTGCCTTTCCTCTCTAAGGGGAATCTCCAGATCCACCAGAACCAGGTGAGTAGTATTTTAAACATTCAACAACTATGAATCTGCGCATGCCTTAGAGTATGCAGCACGATCTCTCAATCCGCTTTTCCGCCTTGGGCTCCACGTGAAGAGCCATCTCCACGTGCTTTCGCGCAAGCCAGGACTGCTTTTGCAGTCTGTTGACCACGATTCGATAGGCCCCAATGATGTCGGAACGGGGTCCACTTTGCCTCGCGTTGATTAGCATCTCGGAGGAGAGTCCCATCTCGGCCAGAAGTTGTCTGGCCTCGAACTCCAGGGCTCCTAGCTGGCTGAGATCCTCGGTGGCCGTGGGCAGCATAATGCAGCTGCCTGTCTCCGCATCGTAGTTCTTGAACAATGGACAGTCGTCGGCCACCTGAATATTCCATGGATTGATCTTGGCCGAGGCGCATTGACCACCGTTGGACAGCTGTTTCTCCGGCTCCGTCTCCAGGGGTGTGACCTTCTTCTTGAGACTGCCGCAGAGCAAGTACCTCCGTGTTGGACGTTTGGCCTGCTCGGCAGGTGCCGGTGGTTCCTTTAGCTGTCCCGATCCCTGGAGCAGGAACTCGTGACCAACCTCGATCGGTTGCAGGAAGTTTTGCACGAACATCTCGTCCTGCTGCCGCGTGTTCATACTAATGGCCGGCTTCTTAACCACTTCCGCATACCGATCCCGCAGCGAGGCGGACTTCCGCAGGCGGTGCGACTTGCTGCGCACCCAGAAGATCGAGCGCTTCGCCGGCTTGCTGTGCTGGCTTATCTCCCACTGCATCAGGTCCGCGCTTAGCTTGGGACAGGTCACGAACTGGCTGTTCAGCATGTCGTCAATGGTGGGCCGATGGGCGGGTATGTGAATCAAGATACGTTCTGCGAGAGAAAATATTACAAGAACAAAATATTGTCTTAAAATATATTGCATAATTTATATAGCGCAGTACGTACGTATAAGTCTTATACAGGGCAAACTGAGCTGGCCGGGCAGCAGGTAGTCGCCCTTGAGTATGGCCGCCTTGAGGCCGGGTATTGTGGGTGCCCGGAATGGCATGTTGCCCACCACCATGAAATAGAGCAGGATGCCCAGGGCCCACACATCCACTGGGGCACCGATGTAGTGGTCATCGGAGAAGAGCTCGGGCGCCGCGTACGGAGGCGAGCCGCAAAACGTGTCGAGCTTCTGATTGGCACCTGTCAACCGGCGTAAAATTGATTAGTTTGCTGACGCGGCCATGAAAGGGCTGTTGAACCCACCATTGATAAGTTGTGTGCTGAAACCGAAATCGGCCAGCTTGAGACGATCTTCCGAGAGGAGCAGGACATTCTCTGCCTTGATGTCGCGATGCACGTAACCCAGGCTGTGCTGTTAGTGCGGGGAAGGGAAGAAGTAAAGTTAGGAATAGCTGCGATATTTCCATTATTTTTAGGACAATAATCATCAGCTTACCATGTGTTTCACGGCCAGCAAGAGTTGCTTCAACAAAGGTGCCGCATGAATCTCCCTCAGAGGTCCTCCTTGGGTTATGTGGTTGTAAAGTTCCCCGCCGCGAATCCACTCAGTGACTAGGTAGACCCGGCCCAAAGTCTCAACCACCTCGAAAAGCCTTCAAAAAACAAGATATATGCAATTCGAATCCTTTTTTAAATAGTGCAAAAGACATACCTCAGAATATTTGGATGATGAACACACTCGAGAGTGGCTATTTCGCTGGACAGCATTCGCAGCGCCTTGGCATCGAGACCCGCTCTATCTAGGTCCACCACCTTAATGGCCACTTTGTCTGAAAACGGGTTGGGTTTTGATTTATAGAATGAATAAGTGATGAGTGGGAGCCCATCTTACCACGCGTCAGCTGGTGGACAGCGAGTTTGACTTTCGAGAAGTTGCCGCGTCCGATATCGCCACAAAATCTGTAGAGGCCAATGCGACGGCCGATGGTTACCTTCAATCAACAAAGGATATTTCTAAGCACATATATTTGTGAAAAATATAATTATAATAATATGTGCAATTTCTTTAGCAACTCGTGCCCAAGTTTGAGCTATTACACAAGCGTTTCCCTCAGGGACAAGGCTCGCACTAAGGTTAAGCAATCCGATGCAGCGATTATTTGATACTCCCATATACACATGTTCTAACAATTAACATTGACTGCGCCCATTCCGGCCACAACTCGTTGCCTGTAATTTATGCCCACGCGCCCCCGAAAAGCCCTCGTGGTCTTGCAATTAGCCAAGGTCAAGTGCGGTACATTTTTGTTAATGTAATTTGAACTGTGGACTGCACTTGACATGGCCGCTTTTTGCTTGTTGCTGGTCGCTCTTTTCAGCCATTCTGTTTGTGTTCGCTTGTTTTTTCTTCTGTTCTTTAATCCACCTTTTGAGCCAGCGAAGGAGGGGTGAGCGTTAATTAAGGAATGAGCAAACGAACGCAGCGCAACGCGGCGTATACGTAATGCGGATACTTGTATTTGGCCACACGCGCATTTTGCAACTCAAGGCCCGAACAAGCGGTGAATGAGCTCGCACACACTTGAAATAAATTTAACTTAATACAAAAAATGAATATGATAAAAGATGGTAATACATTTTTAAAGAAATTTATTTATGTTGTACATATATGTATGTATTTTACTACAGATGTTCTAACTTTAATTAATTACCCAGAATCATTTGTATACCCTTGCAGGGTATTATAATTTTCATCATGAATTTGAAACGCAGAGAAGGAGGCGGTTTCGACCCTATAAAGTATATATACATACATATTCTTGATCAACATCAACAGCCTTGGCGATCTAGCCATGTCCCTCTGCCTGTTTCTACGCAAACGAGTACCTCAGGTTTGTAGCTATCTAAATTTGCAGATAGTCTTCTGACTATTCTCACCACAATATATGTCGGGAACGGGCAGGATCGGTCGATTATATCATATAGCTGATATAGAAACAATCGGAAAATTTGTACGTTTTAATATACTCTAAGATATGGTCATTTAAAAAAAAAACCAAAAGTTAACCCTTCATTATTTTTAGTGCACCTTGCGATAGCCTCCCCAAACGCCATTGGTGCACAAGCAAATTAGCCTTGAACCCCGACATAATTGCAGCGCTGCGGCAGAGGGTTCGTGTATTAGCTAACACACAAACACACCTCTTACACACAGCCACAAACTCGGGCACACAAAGTGACAGAGGCGGCGGCAACAAGCGACAACGACTTTTTCTGTGACGTCAGGGTAGAGGCGGTGAAGGTAAACCCCCATTTTCAGTGCGCTGCTAAACAGGTTGCATTCAAGCTTATATGAGACACAATTCATCTTGCGCAAGGACACAAAATCTGGCACAATAAGTTCATGACACGGTGCGGAGATAAATTCCACCATAACAATTTGCAACCTTCGAGGATCTAACAACGTACGTAAAAGGGTGCTCGAGGAAATTTGCTTTATGTCATGGCTGCTCTGCAAATCGCATTAATCTAAACGAGTCTGTGGTGCTGCAAGGCAGGATTAAGGTTGATTTTACTCAATTGTTGCGACAACAAATGGTTGCATTTAGGTGTGCCAAGTCAAAGGAACAGATTTACTGCCAGTTAAATGATGTAGAAAATAGTTTACGGCAGTTTAGGAGTGAAATATAAACATTAGTTATATTTTATTTATGTTAAACTGTTTCAATTTTTGATTTTATCTAAATTTATCACATTTACTATAACAATAACCCAACAAATGTTCGTTATTAGAAATTACTTCCTATTAATGAGCTTCTACTATGTTAATTTAAGGTTTGCACTGTTTAATGTAACTTGACTTCTTAAAAAATCCAACACAATAAGAAAAGGTACATATATTACGCATACGCAGTGATGTCTCATATATAATACAAGCGAATATGGATCAAAATTAAGCTTTCTTTATACCTTTATCCGTGTTAAATATTGTTATGTTAAATTACGTGAACAGTACATCTACCTTACAAGTTCTTTAATCAAAATTTGGACGTAATGTAATGACTGTTCTAATTGGCGTCGGTCTAGCCATCAAAGAACACCTCAATCCCTTGGTGGGGCTTCTGGTTGAAGGATGCCAACGCCTTCTCCCAGACTCCCTACTAAAGTTTTTCTGTGGCCACAAGCATTTCAATTCGCACTTACCTCGTGGCCGCAGCGCGGATCGCATTGCAGCGCCTTGGTGAGCCTCTGGTAGGGCGGAGTGGGTGGCGGCGGCTGGCAAATTGTCAGCGACGTGGTCAGGGGCGGCGGCGGCGGGGGTGGCAGCGGCAGCGGGGGCACCTTCACAGTGACTGAGCTGCGCAGCGCGTTGGTATCCACGGCTGCCGTTTTGCTGCTTTCAGTTCCGGGGTGCGGGGCTTGGAATGGGGCTGGGCTGGCTTGCTTCGCTGGCAACTTGTTGGTCGTCGCCCTCGACGGGGTCACTCCTCCTTCGTCCCGTCCTATTTCGCTTCCCGAACTCGTGTGTAATTACAGAATGGCAAGTCTTAGTTTCAGAACCGAGCCGGGCAGTCTTACATTATTAAATGCCACCACGCCTGCGAAAAGTTGGTAAGTGAAAAAGAAGAGTTAAGCCAACTTGACTTGTGCTGCTCGGTAAACGTCTTATTTTAGTTGACCGGCAATGCGATTTAATTGAAAATATATATAAGTGGATAGTTTTATGGTGCAAAGGAAGCTCATATACTTAAGTTGCTGCAAAGGATGTGGGATCGAGATAATGAATTACTCATGTTCAAGTTGAGTTTTCTTTCAGTTTTAAATATAAAGTATTATTTGAGTAAGGAACCCGATTAATTATATATCTTTTAATGCTTCCACACAACGAGACCTTACATTGACGTCTCTTTAAACTATAAAATAAGCTATTTTTCTGTGGCTTAATGCAGTAAAGTATTTCTTTTTAATGTTTTCAACAAAAATGAAACTCTAATAACCCATAAATTTATATTAAAAGAGGCCGTTGAAAAACTTAAAACTAAATATATTACCTGCCTGACACTGATTTAGTGTTTGTTCTCTCAAAACAAAAAAATATGGAAAATAATGTGCTTTTGGAAATGGCGTTTATTATATGGCACCCCTAATGAGTTTTATTCAAAGGTAACGCCTTTCGGGCCATTAATTTTCAATTTTTCATCCGCCACAGGAAAAGTGCTGGTGAACTTAGATTAGCCTCCAAGTTCGATGATGGAAAAACCGTGAAGCATAAATTACGATAATTAAATGAAACTAACACGTCAAGCTGATTTCCCTACGAAACTTGGTAAGGCGACTGTCGTAAAAAATGTTCGCTGGCCAAATATAATTAACGGTTGTCGGAGAGCGCAGTGAAAATGGGAAAACTTTCGGGTGTAACGTAATCGATATGGGTTGAGGTTGAGTGCCCGGCCCTGTTTCATCCAATTATGCTGGTCGTAACTCAACTAGTGGCAGGACAGGCGGGAAAACAGATTTCCAATAAGCGAATAAGCAATTCTTCAATAATTCAACACGGAAAAGGGCTCGCTCTGCGCGCATCCTTGTGCTGCAGCAAAAGTTAACTCGAAGTAATTACGTAAATGGATTTTCTTCTCTTTTTTTTTTTTCTTTGCTCAAATTTCCTGTACAAACACAGCGACGGAGGGGGAGGAGGAGGGATTCCGGGATCGGCGAAATATTTATATACCAATCGGAGGAGAGCCCCATCCAGCCCCCTTTCTCTCGAGCGTGACAGGAAGTTGGCCAGGAAGGAACCGAGCCAAATCCGAACTCTCATCAGCCGGCGGCAGGCGACCAGGCGTACAAAGATACGAGCTTGCAAATGGGCCCGCACACTCTCTGCCAAGTGCTACTGCCACACACATATCTCACACTATAAACACTTGAAATTATTATAAAAGCCGCAAAGGGTTGGCCCAACTTTCAGGCCAAGCCGGCGACAGGCGACGCCATCTCTGAGAATGACTGACGGCTACAAGTCGCCTTTGGTGGTTTTAACACCACCTAGATGCGTGTACAATCGAGATCAAACTAATAGTGAAAACTGTTTGATAAAACATAAGGTTACCATATACCCGCCACCGAAAAGATTAGTTTTACTTGGAGCTATAGTTTGTGGAATTCCTAGAAACGATTGCATTTTGAAAGTAATCAAAGTTGCCATCAACTAAGTGCTGATTTCACCCCAGAGATTAAATGGTGTAGGTCGCCCTTGAGGCAATTTATGCATTCCTAGAAAGCCCTCAGCATTTGACCTAAAAAGATTAAATTCTTGGAAAAGCTAAAATATATATATAAAAAAATAACTTTAGTAATATTAAATAACATTAAAGTGCCATCAAAAATAGAGTTTAGTAATTAAAACCACTAACTATAGTACTATATTTTTGAGTAGGTTAAAGTATGTGTTATTTCACAATAACAATTTACAATTATTGAAAAATTTACGAATTTTATAAATAAACTTTGTTAAATTAGGGATATAGTTCGCATAAAAAGCATTAAAGCATAAAACAAGGCGATTTTCTGACTTATTTTTCAAATATAAATGTTGGCAGCTCTCTCTTGCTGACAGTTTAGTTTTATACAATTTTGTAGAAAGCCTCCATTTTGTGTTTACTATTCTGCTGGCCATAGTACAATTAAATTTACATTTACATTCGCATACATGCGTACATGTGAGTGTGTGTGTGTGAGTATAGTATTACGTGCCAGCTCCCTGCCAACCATTTGGCGATTCTCGAATCGCCGGTCGCCAGAAAGAGTCTTCTGGGAGTCGCTTTGGCGATTGCTGGAGGACTTATTTACGAAAATCGCCAAGAAGAGTCTTCTGCGAGTCGCGGTGGCGATCATTGGTGAAATAATTTTCGGGAATCCCGAAGAAGAGTCTTCTGGGAATCGCGGTGGCGATTGCTGGAGGACTTACTTACGAAAATCCCCAAGAAGAGTCTTCTGAGAGTTGCGGTTGCGATTATTTGGCGACTCTTAAAGCAGCGTTAAAAACTAGGAAATGAAGGAATCAGGGATTAAAGTACCGTACATAGATGCAAAGCAGAGAATGCGTCCAAAAGCAAAAGAGTTTTACAAAAACAAATTGCATTACATTTGAGTGAGAATAGGAGTGCCAACCGAACGTCTTTCAATATTTCTATGTTCATTTAGTTTGACTTCGTTCTTTTGTCTTTGCGGTCGATCTGTATTTTAATTCTTCGGTTAACGATTTTTGTTTTATTAATTTGTTTTTGTTTTATATTATTTTCAACTAAAATGAGTTCATCATCGAGGCAATTGAAAATCGTAGTAATCGCGAAGCAAAGCGACCCCAAAAACGTTTTAAATTTTATGAAACTTCCGAAACAGGACAACAAGAAACATGTGAAACAAGTGAAATAAGTGAAAGAAGTGAAACAAATATTAAAACTTTTGTTATTAGTTGTGAAGAAAATTATAGCGTTGAAAGCTATGATTCATTGGCACCCTTACTATCTGACGAAGAGACGATGGAATAAGTGGTATGGATTAACTTTATCTTTCTTTTTTATTTATCTAAGAGTACCAAACTAAATATATATATTTTTGTTTCAGAAAAACAAACTGCAACAAATATGTGGGAGCGATGTGCCAACATTTGTACGGAACTCATTAAAGCTATACTAAGGTATTATTGAAATTAGTATAATAAATAAATACAAATAATTTAATTTTAATTTTCTTTTGTATAGGTGTTGGTTTACGAAAGTTCCCGAATTCTAACGAACAAGATATGAACAAAATTTATCAGCAACCCCTGGTTGGAAACAAAATAAATATGTTAAATTTAAGATGATGTAAATGTAATAAAGAAAATTATGAAGTTATATAAATAAAAAAAAAATAAATTAATTTAAAAAACTCTTATACTCTCTTAAGGCGACACTTCCGCGACTCTTCCACAAGACTCTTCCGCGACTCTTCCAGAAGACTCTTCCGCGAGTCTTCCAAAAGACTCCTCTGGGACTTCTTCAGAAGAGCCCCCCGCGACTCCCTTAGAAGAGTCGCATTCGTAGGTACACTTTCTCCCAACAGAAGATCGGAAAGCGATCAGAATGCGATGTCGCGGGCGATCAAATTAATCTTCTAGAAGAGTCGCAGGCGACTCTTCCGCGATTGAAATGGTTGGCTGGGCTGTCACAGCTGCCGCAGGAGCCGCAATTTCATTTCGACGCTGGCAAGTATGCAACGAAATTTTTACACTTTTCCCACTTATCAAGCCGAAGCAGACTCTATTTCGTAGAGGCTGTGCCAGGGTTTTTGTGTGTGTTGCGGGGGGAGTTTGGGGTTACCTTGGATGGCTTCTCCCTCTGTCACGCATACATTTGCATGCTAATGTCCCCCATTTCCTCCCCCTCCTCCTCCATCAACGTGGAATTACAGTTTTAATTACAAAACTCAACATGAATGCATTTGATATCAAACGAAAACAGAAACGAGTCGGATCTGAGAACTAAGTGTAGTTGCAATTTGAGTGATGGGATTAGAAAGGGACGAGGTAGAGCGCAGAGATGGGAAAGTGTAGCTGGAGATACCATAAAGAGTGTTGCCTTCCAAGTTTTTCCTTTTGAAACCCTGAAAGGATATTCGCATAACTGGGTCAAAAATGTTAGCATAAAAGGAAATAGGCACTTGGCAAAAGCGAAACTCGCTACGCAGAAAAAAAAAGAAAAACACATAAAGGATATGGCGTACTCATACCGTAACATTTGATATTTCTCATTCACTTATGTTACTACTGAATTTTAAAGTTTATGTCAAGCTTATTTTGCAGAGCAAACTCTTGATCAGATATGGAAAACCTATTTCTAAGCAACCAAGCAATTACATTTATTTGCAGGCAATCAAGGATATCGACTGAAATTCTGGACATTTTCATCTTCTAAGATTTCAATAATTTCTTGAGACAAGTAAAATGGTTTGTGAAATTTCAATAAGGATATAAGAGCCCAACTTAAGCTTAAACCAGAAATAAGCATCAGTAATATGATAATCTTTTCGTAAAAATAAATTTAATTAAGCAAAGACCTCATTAGTTTAGCAAGCCATTGCATACAAAACAATTAGGCTACTCATGATATGAATTCAAGGAAATTCAAGGATTAATTTTACAGAATCTTAGCTTGAATGTCATTAAATGTATATATAATTAAGCTATTAAGCTATTAACCAACCATTAAATATTAATTTAAATCATAAATAATTTTCCTTGTTTGAATTCCTTGGAACCGCAAATAAATATTCACATATGAGCCCCCAGCCCCCTTGGCGTTACCTCAACAAATGGTAGAAATTCTCTTCGTTCTTGAAGCTCATAAATTCCTTTAATATTTACAAGGGATACCAATTGACCCGTTTAGACCCTTTGGCTCCTCCCATAAATCACGCAAACAAACGGCTTAGAGTTTCGTAATTTAAGGCTTGGCACTTGCAAGGAGATTCCAC